ACAGTCATACGTGAAAGCCTCTTGATAAACCATCGCCTCATAGGTTAGCATTATGACATGTCATCGTGAGGGAAGGCGACGAAGGTATTGCAAGAATTCTCGAAAACAACAGACTTAATCGGGCCAGTGGTTATAGAGCGATAGACAACATTGAAACTGCGAGGAGTGTGACGTCGCGTTTGTGTGCTTCCCTCTCTCACATACCTCCATCTTTCCCACTACCTCTATCTTTCCCACTACCTCCATCTTTCCCACTACCTCCATCTTTCCCACTACCTCCATCTTTCCCACTACCTCCATCTTTCCCACTACCTCCATCTTTCCCACTACCTCTATCTTTCCCACTACCTCTATCTTTCCCACTACCTCCATCTTTCCCACTACCTCCATCTTTCCCACTACCTCCATCTTTCCCACCACCTCCATCTTTCCCACTACCTCCATCTTTCCAACTACCTCCATCTTTCCCACTACCTCTATCTTTCCCACTACCTCTATCTTTCCCACTACCTCCATCTTTCCCACTACCTCCATCTTTCCCACTACCTCTATCTTTCCCACTACCTCTATCTTTCCAAAGCACCCCATCCATTTACTCGGTGTATAGCACAAATCAAAGTTTCTCTAGACTGGTTAAAATCCCGGCCTTCCCTCTCGCTCCGAAGGAAGTGAAAGCGCAAGACACACGCACGTCCCAGATTAAAAGCGTCATTATAAACTCATGCATGTATACCATATACCTTGCCGAGACTGAAACGTGGATGTTCAAAAAGAGGATCAGTGAAGAACCTTGAGACGGAAGCCATCACTGCGAACTTCACCGTCAGGCAAATACAAGGCAATTAAAAAAAACTATGGTCGAAGGGTCGCTCAGAAATCTTCAAAGATCGCTAATTAAGAGAACGGCGACATCGAGCCGAGGTTAACGATGGGAAATGTAAGCTACGGCTAACAACGTCAACAGCAACGCGAGAACGTGGCCGTCGTCAGTGTTCGCTACACGTAACCCGGCACCGCGGAAATGGTTAATCAAGACGTCTCCCGCTGCGAGGAGTCCTGCTGGGAGGAGGTCACGCCGAAGAGAGGTGCGTCCGCACGCGTTGGCGCGCCTAAAGCCACTAATTAATAATGATAATAAAAGCGTAGTTAAACGCGAGCTTCGTTTTAAAGGTGCCGTGCTCCTCCAAGAAACGACGGGCCTTGACAGCCTTTTGCGGGGTTCTATAATAGATAGCAATTAAATTTGATTAGGATATCGTCATGACTTGATGCGTGTCGTGGGCGCGAGGATCAAAAGGACCACGAGGAAAAGGCACCCGTGCGTTTCAAGCATAGTGGTACGTCAATGCAAAATAAGCCCATTGATCGCTTCTCTTGGTTTGTTTTGTTTGCGTCTTTTTCCACGTTTATGTGTTTTTGTTTGTATCTTCTTTTAGACGTGGTACGTTACTAGTTCTTGTAATATGGACACGCGCATTTAGGGGGAAATGGAGGAGCTACGCATAGTGTTAGACGGATCAAAGGTAGCGTATACACTGTAGGTTCTCATATGTGTGCAAAAATTAAAATATAAAAACCAAAGAAGCATTTGAACGCGCGCCAGACTCAGCCCACAAACTCAATGCTCGTTTTACTTTTTGTTGTGGGCATTCAATGAACGTACGAGCATGCTGATACTATAAATAAACCTTTTGAGTCAAATCTACTATAACCTACACTCTAGACATCTATAATACCACTCGGAGAAATGCGGAACGAGGAACGACAGGCATGCATGGTATTGAAAAAACGGGAAACGCGAGAAAACGCGAACATAGCTGAAACTCTGGACCACATTCCACCTATACACATTATAGTATTGGGAAGACTACATGGCTTAACGTCAGTGAAGCAGCTTAACACGCCTAAATAAGGATTATTCCGCCGTCTGACTAAGACAGCCATTTGTGAGATGCGCACTGAACGGACTGCGAATACGAGTAGACTGAGAATGGCAAAGTAATTGTATGAGCGTCGGTTGAAAGCATACGGTTTCTCCTGTTCTCTTCTAAGCGTTAGCTCAATTTTAGGGGCGAAGCTCCTTATAGCGGCACCCGTTCGTCCCTCGTAGTATGTAACAAGTATAACATTTTGACCTCCAAGGTGGTGCCGGTGAGAGACTTCTTCTGTGCGTTGTTGAACAATAAAAATAGTGCTCAATGTACATGTCAATGGCTGCTAATGAGGAATGAGAGACAGGAGCATTCGGCTTTTAGTTAACGCACAGGCTGCGATCAGCAGCCATTGGCATGTACATTGAGCACTATCTGACAAGAAAGGGTTGCTACGTTATACTCGCTGGGTGTAACCTCCTTAGCTTTAGAAAGGTTTAGCGAGCGTTGAGCCGCAGTGCCATGAATACAATGAACTTGTATATACCATGAATGAACTCGAGGTGGTTAAAAATGGGAAGTAGATACGAAGCGCGAGCCGTAAGAAAGTAAAAGCCGAATTCTCCGCCTCTCATTTCCCATTAGCAGCCATTGGCATGTACATTGAGCACTATCTGACTGAAAAAGTTTGCTACGTCAAGCCCAAACTCCATAAGCGCGAAAATGCACGCGACAGCGACGAGCGACGCTATGAGCGACGAAACAGGGCGTTCGCGCGACGTGTCGCGTGCTCGTTTTCGCGCGATCGCTCGGTTCTCCAGATTTGGAAACCGTCGCTCATCGCCCGGAAGTGCTGGGCTCAAGCAGCCAATAGCGAAAAACCGGAAAAGAAGACTACATAGGTGCACGTGACCCTGCCCGAGTCACGTATGCGCAACAAGAAATAACGCAATGTTTATTGAGCATGCGCATATAAAAAATGCTGCAAGGCAATAATAAACACTTTCCGTTCCATTACACAACAATATATCTTATTTTTAAATTGGAAACCGCTCGCTACGCGTTTTTCTTGGTGCGAGTTGACGGCCTCATGCCAGCAACAGTGGAATTCGCTCGCCGAAGCCGTCGCGTGAATGAGGTTTGCCTGCGCTAGCGACTGATCGCGCGACGCCGATCTACGTCGCGTCGCTCGTCGCTGTCGCGTGCATTTTCGCGCTTATGGAGTTTGGGCTTCATACTCTCTGGGCGTAACCTCCTTGGTTTTCGAAAGGTTTAGCGAGCGTTCGGCCGCAGTGCCATGAATACAGTGAACTAGTATATATCATGAACTCGAGGTGGTTAAAGGTGGGAAGTGGACCCGAAGCGCAAGAAGTAAGAAAGTGTGCGTGTGCCACCTCTCGTTTAGTCCTTGGAATGTCCACTGGATGGCGGTGCTTCTATATGGGGAATATATGACAAAAAGATGCAAGACGGTGGTACTTGGAGTGTTGAATAGATGGACGAACGGACACATAGATGCATGGATGGACGCATGAACGGACGCAGGGGCGGCTGCATGGACGAACGCAGGGGCGGCTGCATGGACGAACGCACGGACGGGCTGATGGACGCATGGACGGACGGAAGCAAGAACGAATGGACGGACGAATTCTTCGCCCCACTCTCCATCATTCACTCCGTGGATATGCTGCCTTTTTTTTTTTTCGTCGTTATATTGGCTGGCGTTCCAAATGGTGCACGTGTTTTCAAGTTTGGATCTGGATGTTTAAAGGTTGATATTTGGGAGTACAGCATAAAAAGGGCATACTCACTAAGTATCTGAAAAGAGGAATACTAACAGATTGAACGTTTTTAAAAATACACAAACATATAGATCAAATGCAGCTACAATGTCGTTCCTGTGTAGCGTATGCTTTCTTCTTGCGCTTAGAATTACGAGACGAGGACGAGACGGGGACTACAGGACAGACGATGTGCACCACCTGTTCTGTAGTGTGTCTCGTCCTCGCCTCGCAATATGAAGCGCAAAAAAAAAAAGCACGAACAACCAACAATCACCCGGTTGATCGCTATGCTAAACTTGAGTAGCGATTGGGTGTAGCTCCAAATCCTGCGCCAAATTCAACTCCGCTACTGTGAAACCCAAAGATTAGCGGGCACCCAACGATTCCCATTGCGCTGCTGCTCTGTCTATGAACGATCTTTCGCAGAAGTTGGCAGCACCGGCACCACAGAAGCACCGGTGGGAAGAGCAACTGCGAGCTCGGCGATGCGTTGGCGCCCTCTTTTGAGTGGCGCGGATGTCAGGCGGGGCACGTTTCCGAAGCGTTTTTAGCGATCTCAAAATTAACTGTTGCAACTGCTCCTTGTTTACTTCCGGTAATTATATTGCATTGAAAATTTTGTTTTAGACCTGTGTGGCCTCTTGATTTTGAGCGTGAGCTCTATGAATGAATGACAAGCAAGGTAACTAAAGTATTACGCATTTGTACACCCCGTGGTATTACGTGTGGAATCCGGGACGCTATATGAGGCGCACACACAGTGCGAAGGAAAGTGAGAGTAGGGGGTCGGGATGGGGGTGACTTCGCATTTGTTCCTATCACCTAAAGAGTCCTCTAGGTGAAGCGCACAGGTATTCTTCCGTTCAGTGCCTCCAGAAATACGACCGCCACGAAGGAGAGTCGAGTCCGCGTCCACAAAATCTGCAGCGGGACACCTTCACCACTTACAATGACGGGTCTCAGTGATTTTTTTTTTACTTTCCGCTTAATGCAATCAACGTAAGCAATGCTCCTGTTTCTAAACATGTTATATAACGAAACATTGAACACAAGGGTACATTTACGGATCTTATATTTTTTTTTTCTTTATTGCATTTACGGATCTCATACCGACAACGTACAGTACTCACGAATTCAAACACATCATATTCTTAATTATAAAGCGTTTCATTAAAAATTACACCAATACGACGCAAACTGGAGACGATGGAGACGAATGCATGAGCGTTGTTTAGTTCTAAATTGCTCCAGCTGTTCCAATCCGTAAATACTGTTCAGATGCATGTGCACTGGCTTCGCATGCGAGCACTGCACAGTATGCACATATTCGTGCCGTCAGACTGACCTCCTTGGAGCTCATGGCGAACGCTGACTCGGTCGCCAGGCCGGGGGTCCCTGCTCGACCAGGCAGCGTGGGGGAGTCCCGCTGCAAAGACACGCACAGGTCACACACAAACGCAGTAAACACACAGCTGCCTAACACATGCAGGCAGCCCAGGCTTCGACACACGAGTAAAACAACAGAGCGCGCGCGAACATCATCCTGCACATACGTCACGTAATCAACGTTAAACACTGCACTTTCAAGTGTGGCGGTTAGGGCTAGTTGGTATGAGATGGTGACAGTTACAGCGCGAGAACAGAACGACGACAAACGGAACACGAAGAGGACCAGCGCTCGTCTCCTTCTTGTTCCCTTCGTCGTCGTTTTGTTCTCGCGCTATAACTATCGTCATGCACTTTCTCAAGATTCGACCGTTTTAGCAAGGAATTACGTACGCTGCTTTATTATAGCGAAAGCTGCGAAACCACGTGACAGTTTTGGACGCGCACGTGGCTTTCCGCACTGACAGCAGAGCAGCGCGATATATATATATATATATATATATATATATATATATATATATATATATATATATATATATATATATATATATATATATATATATATATATATATATATATATATAGCAATAACGGTTCAGGGATAACGGTTCAGGGCCTTAAAATTTAACCCTATAGGGTTTTAAGTCCCTGAACCACAATATTATAGTGAGGGGTGTGGAAATCTACGGAAACTTCGATTGATATGTGGAGTTTAACGTCGCAAAACCACGCTATGATTATGAGAGACGCCGTAGTGGAGGGCTCCGGAAATTTCGACCACCTGGGGTTCTTTAACGTGCACCCAAATCTGAGCACACGGGCCTCCATCGGAAATGCAGCCGCCGCAGCCAGGATTCGAACCCGCGACCTGCGGGTCAGCAGACGAGTACCTTAGCCACTAGACCACCGCGGCGGGGCTCTACGGAAACTTCGATGACCGGAGTTTCTTTATCGTGTATCTGAATGTACACTGACATCTCAAGCGTTTAGTTGCTATTGAAACATGCGGCCACCACTGCCGGGATTCGATCCCGGTCGGTATAGTCGAGCGCCACAACCACTAGATCACAGTGGCATGGGCCTCTTAAACGCTGCACGAGAAGAGACCAAAGCAGAACCCTCCGAGCACGGTTCGTGACTGTAGGCGTGTATGCTGTTCTTGGAACATTGTAAGCACAAACATGCTCATCAAACACGCCAGTGTTGGCGCGCACAATGCGTCATTCCCGCTAAGGCGACTGAACGGAGCCTCAACTTTCTTGTTCTTGCAATCTATACACCCCGAGTGTCGTGAAATGGAGCGTGACTGCTTAATTGTTCCTTCTTTTTTTTTTTTGGGGGGGGGGGGGGACGTCGACTTTTGAAGAATGTGAAAGCGAAGGCACCGCCTAATTATCGAACCGTCACTCAAGAATTCTGTAGAGCGCAATTCATCTTGCAACCTCAGTGAGAGCTACGTGACCACCCCACGTATAACATTGTCTATTGCCAGTATATTTAAAACGCCGAAACCACACTAGGCACAGTATATAGGCAGCGAGAACTTTACAAAAAGGGTGAGACGTTCCAAAAGCTCCATGGAAGCAGTGCACCCCAGCCCAGCCAGCAGTCTTTTCTTGCCCGTCCTCGTTGTTCAATCAAGCGCGCATCGTCACAGTTCCCACCCTTTTATGGCGATGGCATCAGCCCGGATTTCCAAGCAAACGCACTGGTTAGACTGCCTTTACTAACTCGGGGGAAGTGACGTCTCTGTATAGGGTATACAATTGAGACGCTATCGATCAGATGGGGCTACATAGACGGGCGACGACCTGTCGATGCCTCCGCGCGTGACACTCCCGACACGCCCGCAGACTGCGTGACACGGGACAACTGACAAGAGTGGAAGCTTGGGCTAGTTGGTGCGTATTCATATTTGCAAGGTGTTTCAGCGCGCGAACAAAGGAAAAAAGGTCAGGGTAGACAGAAAGAGCGCTGACTTCCAACTAACTTTATTTCGCAGAGTGGCAAGAATTTATACGTCTAAAAAGGAAGATTACAGAGCACGAATGTAAGAGCACGGGACAACGCTAGCTGATCAATCCAAGCCCGAACGGCTAATTTGGAACTGCCGTGCAGAGTCGAAGGAGCAGCTATAGTGTGCAGCCTGCGACAGTGGCTGGACCTCGCACGCAAACATAGTTTGGCGCAAATGACTATACGCGACGCTTCTTATCGCCCTTATGCGGAAACTATAGACTCCGCGCGAAATTATACGTACTAACGGCTGCGCGAATGTGCGTGCTTTTCTGGTCGTTGCACAGGGACCCACGTTGTATAGGGGCGTGCGTGCTTGCATACGTGCAAGCACGCACACGTGATTAAAAAAAAAAAAATGTGAGAATGCAAGCACCAAGGTTTGTGCAGTTTGCATCTATCTTGTGTCGTGTCACGCATGTACCTTCTTTTATCCTCAACCCATATCAAATAGCACACCTTTATGTCATTCTAAGCACGCCTACCATCTTATATAGAGCTGTAGGAGAGTTACCCGGTAGAAATTGCTGCCTCCGCGCGGTTGGGAATCGAAGCCACAAGCCTCGAGGTCAATAAACAGTCAATTTCCCTTCGAAACTTTCAATACACGAAAGCCAACTGTCTGGCTCGTAGTATACTGCACAACCGGAAGCTTAGCGCGAAGAAACGACGCACAGAACGGCAGAGTTGTGTTATCGTGCCGGATGTCGTCCCTCGTGAGTCGTTCATTTGCGCTATGCATAAACACCTCCGGTATATTTAGTAACACTGCAGGCACACATCCGTGACTCTCGCAATGTAGCTGGTATCTTCGACGACAAGATTACCCGTATACAACGAAGGATTCCGAAGTGTCTACTGTATAGGGCAACGGTACAATTTTAACGGGCACTACCCACGAATGTCCGCCTCTTTGGTAGAACGGGTATACGGTGCCCGGCCGCTGCGCCGAAGTTCGCGGCTATATATACGATCACAGCCGTAGCGGTGACATTTCTCGATTACAGCAAAATCCCAGAGGACCATGTGTATGTGCAATGTGACCGCGCGTTAAAGAACACCACAGGGTTGAAATTTCCGGAGCCTTCCACCGTGGCGTGGCGGCTCATACGATCAAGCGAAACGTGGCTTTGGCAAGTAAAGGCTCGTTCACACTTCCGACCAATCACGGTCGCGCGACCGGCGACCAAAAGCATATGCGGGCGACATATACCGGTCGCCACGCAGAATTGACCTCTTTTCGCATAGCCATTGGCCCTTAAAATAAGCTGACGTCCTTTTCGGGCACACCTGATTGGTTCAGACGTTAGCGACTTCAGTCGCGCAAATGAAAAAAAAAAATCAAGCAACGAGCGAATGAGCCAAAACAGCCACTCTGGGACCGATGCGAGGTCATACGAAAACGCACTCACTTTGCGCCTAACTTGGTCGCGTGACTCGTGGAAGTCGCAGCTGCGAATGACCCTTGAACGCCCCAGATATTATTACTACAACTACACACAGGTGCGCGTGTGTATGCGTACTCAAAGACTCTTTTGTTTGCCCAATGACCTTCCACATGGTAAATTCTCATTTATTCACACAAATCTAGGGGTATACAGCCAGCTCGAAATAATTTAGCGCCTTCACAATCCTCCTCTTCGTTAACAAGCAAAATGTATAACTTACAGCCTATACAATCCAACAAGCGAACTCCTGCCCCGCCGCGGTGGTCTAGTGGCTAAGGTACTCGGCTGCTGACCCGCAGGGCGCGGGTTCGAATCCCGGCTGCGGCGGCTGCATTTCCGATGGAGGCGGAAATGTTGTAGGCCCGTGTGCTCAGATTTGGGTGCACGTTAAAGAACCCCAGGTGGTCAAAATTTCCGGAGCCCTCTACTACGGCGTCTCTCATAATCATATCGTGGTTTTGGGACGTTAAACCCCACAAATCAACCAATCAACAAGCGAACTCCTAATCAGAGTATGTGTTAGCGCGATGTGACGTCAGCGCGACGCGAAAAACGTATAGTACGCGCTAACACGGAGCGTAAACGCTTGCGGCAATCTCCAGCGCCGATCTACGCCGAAAACTGCGGAGAAACGGGCAAGGAAAGCCTTTCCCTAGGGAAAGGGAAAAAAAGAAAAGACAAACCGGTAAGGCGTTCGATCGCGGTTGGGAAACAAGCATCATTATCGAACGGGCCAGCCTCGCGGTTCCATGCGTAGTTAGTTTCGCAGCATGGACTGCTCATCGAAAAAAACACACAAGACAGCGGGTGAGGAGCCGGTGGGGGCGGCGGCTAGCGGAGGCTCGCCGCGGTCCGTGGTATCGCGTCGATTTTCCTCCCGGAAAAAGAAAATCCATATCGTAAAGAAGGCGTTGCGCAAATAAAAAAAGAAAGAGCCTCTGGCGCAGATATATGTGTCTCTCACATATACGAACTACGGAGACGCGGCACGATCGAAAGAAATTTTTTTTTTAAACTTTAATGACATCGCAGAAAAGACTCGTGTGTGGATGGCAATTCTTTAGACACGCGTGGTCGGAAGGCAACGCGCTTGTGATCATTGGAAGAAGAAGCGCTCGGGGGGAACCCACATCGGCAGGGGGTTGCAGAACATACACTTGACCCTCCTGTGTTTTTTTTTCTCGTGCACATGACATCGCACATTACACGAGAGTTTATCATTTCATCTCCAAGTTAATTCAACATGCTTAGCTCGTCAGAATGAACGCACGAATATGTCCCCATTGAGGGAAAATGCGCTATGAAATCATCGAACGTGAAGTCCGTTGGTGTTGACGCTTTTCGACGTAAAACGTCGGGTCTAAATTGGATTATTATGTGCTCCTGGCGAGTTTTCGATCTCTCTCTCTCTCTCTCTCTCTCTCTCTCTCCATCAGATTCTCCTGCAAATATTTTATTGAAATTTTGAATAATTCTTCGAGTTTATACATTTCACGCACGAGTTTCGTTCGCGATGCTTTCCGAGACTTGGCGCGTTGGCTAGAACCTCACCCTCCTCATGCGACGAAATAAGTGG